ATTGCCTGCCTTCCTTCCTTTCTTCCTTATTTATTTGAGAGAGGATCTTTTTTTTTTTAGTTCTTTTATTGGTATATTTTAGGTATACAACTCATTTACATTTTCATTGGGTGTTTGTACCTGTACATGATATATCTTGGTTCTTATTTTTTTTCCCCATTACCTGTGCACCCTTCACCCCCTCTGCCCGTCTCTATTTGCATAGATTTCATTTCCTTTTTTTATTCTTTTCTCATAGTTTTTCCTTTCCCTCTTTACCTTTCCCCTTCCCCTCCCTTCACTCCTTCATCTTTGGACCTTTTTTCCTATTTCAAATTGTCAGTTATTCATTTTAATCATTTTAACCGTTGTTTACACTATTAGTTTGAGAGAGGGTCTTGATAAGTCTCTTAAATTGTCATCATCCTCTTGTCTCAGTGTCTCAAAGCTATTAACTTACTTGCTATTTTGTATCAGTGGTCTATAATAGATATCGATGTGACTTCTAGGCATATTGCCAAGCTAGGGATATTGGAGTATTTCTTAAACATTCAAGAATGAACAGGTCTGTCACCTACAGGTGGTAACAAATCATTGTAGTGTACTGAATTATTCACTGGGGCTAACAATTAAGTCCCTTTTGAATAAAAGCTTAACAAAATCAAGACTACCATATACATATGGAAGCCCTAGACAAGTAGCTGTCCTTTATCGCCGTTTTGCAAGGCAAGGTCATGGAAAAGTGAGTTACCCAGGTGCATAAGGCTTTGAGGTTCTACAGGCAACCAAGGAGCATCCTTATCATACGCAGTCTTTTAAAATAAGCTGAGCATTCATTGTTCTTGAACTAGCTCAAGACACTCTTGCCCAAGGTGACTGCTTGATTGCATTTAAATATAAAAGAAATTTCTCTCAAGGTTTCCTGAGGGTCATAATGAATGTTCAGAGATCATCCAACCTTAACATGATGATAAATGAATTACAAGGCAGCTTTGGCGGTGCTTGATCAGCAGTTGTTCTCCCTGACTAGCCTGAGCTGGGCTAAAGGCCTTTTTGTGAACCTGTGTAAAAACAAGCAGGACTTTAAGGACATGTACTTTAACACACCGTATGTAGTTTTTGAGCAATCGGACTTGCAAAAGGACATATTTAATAAAAACTTATAGGAACACTTTCTGAAAGAAGATAGTGAAAATAATTCTGTTTGGGGCAGATTGGGCACAGCATTTCCGGTGTGTGGATTTACATAATCATCACCATCACCTTGAAAAGCATTGCTTTATCCCAGTTATAAATCAGGGGAAACTGTCTTATTTGTGTAGCATGTAAACCTGGTGAGACTGCTCTGAGCCCCTGGGGACATCTGTGTGGGGCTGTGGGGGGAAAGGCGAGGAGAGATGGGGTAGAGGGAGGAAGGGGCCACACGAACCCATCACTGGTGAGTGGTGGCCAAGCATTTCTTTGTTTTTTGGTTGGGTTAGGTAGGATGTGTGACCCAGAGACCTTGGAGTTAACTGTGGCTTTGGAAGGGTGCAGACTGTTACCCTTGGGGAACAGGGTCAGTTTCATGTTTTCCATATGGTTTTCCTCTCCTCTCTCCAACTGGCTGTAATGTCTTCTTTTCTTTAATTTCGCCTTTCAGTGAAATGGAGATAAAGTTCTTAGGGCCTTAAGTATGTTAGAGTTGGCAGTAGGAAGTGGTATAATATTTAGCCCTTATATTAATGTTTATACTCACCTCCCCTGTTTATGAATAGCAGAAACACTCCAGTGTTTAAACCCATACTTAAATAAAACTCAGGAGTATCATTTACAAAAATTTAATAAGGTGAAATAATAATAGTCTAGTACTTAAAGTTTTCAAGTCACTTTGTGCTTATATAACATGAAACATAAACCTGTGATGTTTTTCATCCTTATGTTATACATGAGGAAATGGAGGCCCAGTGGTCAAATAATTTGTTTAAAAAGTCATACAAATAATACCAAGACTAAACATAAATTCAGGCTCTTTAAATGGAGATCTTTATATATTCCTTTTACTAAATTTACCATAGAGCCTCTATCTGTCCCTCCTCCCCCATATAAAACGAGGAGAAGGCAAGCTGCTGGAAAATAAATGTATTAAAGAATGTGACTTTTGTCACAGTTCCCAAATGGGTCTTTCAGATAATTTTTAAGAGACCTTTTGCCTAAGATAGGTGATGAAACAGCGCTCTGTGAAACACCTCTGGAGATAGGTGTTCCGGTGGCGCCTCTGTTCTCCACTTCTTGGAAAGGAAAGGCGAGGTTCTCAGCCACTGGTGGGCAGACCTGGGTCTGTCCTAGGCCCGGCTTGGGTGTGGACCCTCGCGTTTCTGAAAGCCACAGGCAGTTGGGTGCTGGGCCCAGTTCAGTGAGACTGGGCTGGGTGAGTACTGCTGAGTGAGGGGCTCAGCGTCCCAGGTGCAGAGACCCGCTTTCCTCTCCAGGCCCGGTCTAGGGATTGTGGGGTCGCGTCTGGTAAGGGGTCTTCTAGCCATATGAGATGTCTACATTGCTTTCCCACAAAAACCAAAAACCTCTTGCTTTACGATTCCTAATTTTAAGAGTATAAAGCCCCAAGGCAAGAAAAGTCAAACAGGCTGGAAATACGTTAGCCTCTGGAGGTCACGGTGCGTGTGCAGTAGTGTGCATTCCTCCTCGCTTGCGAGCCCCTTGGCCCCGCAGGTGGAGCCGCCCAACCGCCCCGCCCCGCCCCGCCCTCTGAGCGCCCCTTCCTGAAGCTGCCCGTCCTGCGGTTCCCCCCTGTGGGCTCTCCACCGGAACAGGTCCGCGCCATGCACCCCGGAGCCGAGGAACCCCGGGAAGGTAGGCTCTGGGCTTCTCTCCGGCGGCCGAGTCCGCAGGCAGGGGACAGTTCAGACCCCGTGGGAGTCTCAGTACTTCTCGCTCTCCGGCACTGGAGGGAGGTGCTGGTCTCAGTACCCGCCCAAGCAGGACAGAGCAGGCGGTGCCCTGGGCTACTCCGCCCCCCCCCCCCCAAGTGAGAAGGCCCGGTGGCATCCTCGGCAGGGTCTGCTGGCTGGTTGCGGTTTGGAAGGGGAGATGAGCCTCATTTCCTGCCAGTGGGGAGTGGGGAGAGGTCCTCACGTGGGGGCTGGTGCACTTTCTCCTGCTAGGTTTAGGCAGTGAGTTGTCTGGTAGGGAGCTGAGGTATGAGGGGCCTCGTGCTCTCAGGTCCAGACCCAAGGGGAGAGCTTGCTTCTAACTTTCCAGAGGCGGAGTTGCATTTACTCCTAAACTGAACAGCTCAGTTGGAAGGGCTCCAACCAAAACAGCTCTGCTCTGGTGTCAGTTGGGGAGTTTATTTGTGTGTGAGCGTTTGTAGGCTTTGTTCCCTGAAACCTCATGTATACAAAAGTCCTCTTGTAAGCAGAGATGGTTGGGGAAAATTAGTAAGAGGGGTGACTGTTCAGGACTGTGAAATTAACCTTTTCGGGTACCCTCTCAGGAAGCGTAATGTCAGGGCCATCACTGTAGCCCCGCAGCCGTTTTCTTTTTGGTGGACATCTGTTAGGAGATCCTGAAATTTGTCCTCTTGTCATTTACTGATGTCTCTGTGGACCGACGTTTGCCATGTGAAGGAGAGAGTCAGTTTTTTAAATGACTTATTTAATAGAAATATGGGCCTGACCTGAATGAAAAGGGACAGCACGGAGGATTGTTTCTGAGCTTGATGTGGATCATGGGGTTTCCGTTCAGTGGCCTCTACTCTCATGGAACTGTGTGCCAGTGGATGCTTTTCTTCTTACATCTTTTTATCATAACATCAATTTCTTTGAAGTTAAAAGTTGTCAAAGGCAAATAAGATCTGGACTTAGAAACTCATTGGTAAAGTTTTGTGTGAATTAAGTACCACATAAATGGTCATTTTACTTACCTCCAGGCATGTTTTTCCTCTCTCAGCAAAGGAGGAGTGGGGAGAAAGTAGAAAAACAGTATCCTGAAGATTGTAGTATACATTCCTCTAGCAACATCCACAGACTTCCCTCCTTGCTGCTGTGTTGTAAGTTTGGAAGCAGCCTGGCTCCCTTACTTTTTCCTTACCTTCCCTCTGTCTGTGTAGCCAGGACACACAAATAATCTGGCCTCCCTGCTCTTTAAAGAAAGTTTAGAATGTTTCTTTTAAAATAATCTGAAGTGCTAGAATTTTATATTGATGGCCATTCAGATAAATTTTTGAATAAAAGGGTTGAGGAAAACAATCACTTTGTTGACCAGATAGAAACATTGTTACAACTGCCAGGAAATAATAGCTATGGGGTGTGTGTGTGTGTGTGTGTGTGTGTGTGTGTGTGTGTGTGTGTCCTGGGCACATCCTACAAGGCTGGTTATTGACTGCTCTCTAGAACCATTCCTTTGGCTACCACTGCCCAGGTGTCTAAGGAGGCATGGTGCATAAATATCTGTTATCTCACTTCTCTATCTTTACTAATCCTTACCCCCCATAATTCCGTGGGTTTTTTTCCTTGCTGGTAGGTTTACATATCCCAGTTAGTGTGAGCTCACCACTAGTTTGTCACAATGTCTGCGTTTGGAGAAACTTGCCTTTGGATGCTGCATGCCTGACTTACAGTAATGGGAGATACTTTTAAGTTCTTATCCAAAACTGCAGTAATAGACTAGAATACTTTCTTTGGGGTTGAATCTGAAGAAAAAAATCAAATCAGATCCAGAAGTCATTGGAGACCAACATATTTGTGTGTGTTCATGAATGTAGAAGCACATGACTGAGGATACTGTTACCCTATCCTAGCTGAGAATGCACTTGACTCTGTGCTGAGGCTGAACCTCTGTCCTCGGTCTGTAGCCACCTTCTAAAGAAATCATCTAACTTTGCCTGCTTACAAATGAATAGGTGATTGTACTTAAATACTGAAACTGAGAAAATTAGGCTTGTCTTTTTATAAGCCTTGAAATTTTTATTTAACATAATGAGAGCTATAATAACTTATATTAAAGACTGTGTAGTGCTCTGTTGTTCACCAACTGTTTTTATGACGATAACTCTGAGATCTGGAATGTGACCGAAAATGAGAATGTTTTGCTGTTTGTGCTTTAGTTTCAGAATTGGTATACCCTTTGGGAGATTTATAGGGGGATCTTGCTATGGAGTCAGAATGTCTTCCATGTGATCTTGATTTTGTTCCTGAGCTATTCTGCTTTTGAGGTGAACTTGACTGTGATTTTCCTATTGACTTGGACCTTTTTTGTAAAGATTTGGACCTTGACCATCCTCTAGAACCAGAATTCCTTCTTGGAGTTCTTGACTGCCGTGCTGAGGTAGACTGCCTTGGTGTAGTGATTTGGAACGAGATTTAGACTGGCTGTAAGAGAATTGCCTGTGTCGAGACTCTTTAAGGCTATCTGAACACCTCCTGTTTCTTCCCCATGAAGAACTTCTACTTCGAGTTCTCCTTTGACTGGGGCTTCTTGATCTCCTGTGATCAGCTGGAGAACAAGGATGCCATTCTTTTGATTTCTTTTGGCCTGGTGCTCAGTGTCACTTGATCTTGAACCTTGACCTTTACTCTTTAAGACTTGCAAGATGGACTTTATAAGAGACGCAGAACCAACAAAATCAGACTTGGCTTTGACTCTGGAACTCTGAGTAAATATAGGAAAGCCGAAGTCTCAAAGTTGGCTTTGCCTTTTGGTTGATAAAGACTTCCCCTCTTCCAGGTCTTTATATCTGTGTCCACCCTCCCTCTTTACTCCTTGATGCTTGAACTTTAGGTGCCTTTTTTCTCGCCTGCTCAGTTTATCCTTGGATTCTAGCTAACAGGTTGGTTCAAACTGGGGGCTGCTTGCCAGCTACTGTGGACTGCTTTAGATTTTCTGGCGGCGTCCGCGACATTCCTGATGAACAGGGAGGTGTTGGGGGACCTCGTGTAGCAAGACATGGCCGCTCCCTACCTACTCTCGGGTCCCGCTCGGTCTTTCGCCACTGCCACAGCAACTTGGATGGCCCCTCTCTAGGCTTGGCTTTTTAAACACTTGAAAAGTTTAAATATCCAGACATAAAATGACTAGGAAAGCAGGGGACATGAAGGAAGAAACCCACTTCATTAAAAAGAGAAATGCTTCCCCGGTACCAAAAAAAAAAAAAAGGCAGGGGATGCCATTCAAAAGAGGATATCACCAGCTTCCAGTGGATGGGAGCTTCCCGAGGAGACTGCTAATGGCCACATATTTGGCATTTAGTTGCTTCCTGTTGAGTAAAATACTTAATCATGAAGTAGTAGAAATGAATGGAAGTTGATATGTATGGAGATCTTTTTAGACTTAAGCATCAAGGAATCTTTTCCTCTGGTTATCATAGTTTTGGTACCAGAAATTGAGAAAGCTGTTGTCAAAAGGGGTCATTTTTTGAAGACTTGGGAAAGAACAGAGATTGAGAGGTTGATGTGTGAGAGCTCACCTCCCCCTTGCTGCCCACAACAGCCACTTCCTATACCACCTCAGCAGTTCTCTCATGCCTCACCAGGCCTGCCAGAAAGGAAACAAAGGAAACAGCAGCCACCAGACTCCATCAGCTTCTGTTCCCAGATTGGCAGACTTACTGTCACCTATGCCCACCCACCCAGTGTCAGGTGTTGTGTCCAAAGAATGCCGTCCTTCTTTCTTGGGCTCCTGCACACAGTAGGCCTCCTGTCTTTTTCCTGGCTTCTTCCCCTCTGCACTTAGATGAACTGGAGCTCTGCATCTAAGATACCACTTGCTGGTCTACTGCCCAAAATATCTCACTCTTCACCTGGTCCCCTTTCTTGGCCGGCTCCTTGGAGGGGCTTTTTATGAACCCCCAGCCTAGCTCAGGATCCCTGCTGCCTTCACTGAGCACCTCTTCCTTCCTCCGTAGGTCTCCACCCCACTGATTCACATCTCTTCTCCAGTAGTCCTCAAGCTCTGAAACACCATGTCTGATTCATTTTCCACTGTGTCTCCAGAACCTACACAGCAAGAGGGCTCACTGCATATTGTAGAGTGAATTTTCAGCACTTTGACCAATTTTAGGCATTGCTTTTCCTTTAGAATGAACCTTTTTAAAAAATAATATATGCTTTTTCATGGTTCTCACTGTCATCCCTCGCCCTGCTGAAGTCTGTCTTTGTCACCACCATTCCATGAAAATCACATTTGGCAAAATCACTCATAACTCTGCGTTCACTTTTCTTTGTTCTGATGGTCTTTTTACCCTTCTTAACTGCATTTGACAGTATGACGAGGGTCCCTGCAACCTTAAAAGTCCTTCCTTGGTTACTATGACACTACCTTCTTCTGGTTTTTCTTTCTAGTTTTCATTCTAGTTTCCTAGTGGTCTAGCCTGGGCTCTTCTCAGAACCACCTGTTTACACAGCTTCCTGGTAGACATCATGCTTTGAATGTCACACAGGCATCTTAAACTCAGGAGGTCCAAACTGAGTCCATGCTTTTCTGTTATCCACAAACTTTGTCTTCTGTACCTTTTTGGATTCCAAACTACAAACTTGAAAGTTGTCCTTGACTCAGTTGTCCTTTATCTTTGGCTTCCAGCTCATCACCAAGACCTGGCACCTTGTACTCTTCATTGTCTGTGGACTGCATTATCTTTTTCCCTCATCTCTCCTGGCCCTGCCAGGCCCTCAGTATTTGTACCCTAATTATTATTATAATCACCTCTGTTTCCAGGGTTCTCACTTGCCCAAAATGGAACTTGATTCCTCCTGTCATAAGCAGAAAAATGTGCCTGAAGGTTACTGAGTAGTTCATACTTGCATTGTATTAGTTTTCTATCACTACTGTATAACAAGATATCTTAGATAATTAGCTTATAAGGTAAAAGTTTTGTTTTGGCTCACATTTTTGGAGGTTTCAGTCTATGGTTGATTGGCCCCATTGCTCTGGGCCTGTGGGGAGGTGCTGCATCGCAGTGGGAGTGTGTGGCAGTGGAAAACTTCTGACTTCATGGCCGGGAGACAAAAGAGAGCAAGGAAGGGGCCAGGGTCTTAGTCAAGGGCAACTCCCAGTAACTTGAAGACCTTCCACTGGGTCCTGTCTCTTCTGAGAGGTTCTGCCATTTCCCCATTGTGCCATCCTAGGTATTGGGCCTTTAGCACAGGGGCCTCTGGGGTCATTTCAGAACCAAACCATTGCACTCACTAAAAGGCTAGAAAAGTAGCCTCTGAAACTGTAGGCAGGTGTGGCCCAGGGTACATCTGGTTGGAGTGTCACCACTGCCTTTACCACCTCTGCATTTTTACTACTGCCACTGCAGAATTTACAAGTAGCTGGCATTTCGTCATCCTCACCACTCAAAATTCCAGACTTTAGCCATCTGATTGATTGGTCAAGCTGAGCTGGGACCCTGGCCTTTGCTGCTGTGGGAGAGAACTTCCAGTTCCAGCTTTGGTCATGGGTCATAGGGGCCTGACTTCTGTAACCACTTCCAAAGTGAGGGCTTCTCCAAAATGGGAAGGGAACTCTTACATGGATCTTCAAAGCAACAATACTCTACTGCAAGACTCAACTGGTTCAAATACCTTCCACACCACTCAGCTAGCTAGTGTTGTCCTGTTCATTTACTTCCTCATTACTGAAGAATTGCTGTTTCCTTTGTCAGGATCATTCTCCTGCCCTTCCTCAAGTGGGTAATGTCTCCAGCCAGACCCAGGTGGGGAAGATGCCCTTCCCAGGTCTGCCCATAGCACCCTATGCCCCCTTCAGGTGTAATGTGTTTTTATCCTGTAGTAGCTTTCATTTTCCTTCCCTTCATTTTGAACTTTTGGCAGCCAAGATTGTGCCCCTACCCCTCCAATCCCCAGTGCTAGGCCTAGGGCTTCTCATACAGGAGGGCCTAATAAAGCTTCAGTAAATTAATTGAGGATCATGATGATGAAATCTTTTACAGCATTGCTTAGAAGTTTATAGAAATAAGAATAGTGCTTTCCAAACCTGGAGGACAGACCTATTTTGAGTTTCCTAAATTTTCTACTAAAGTTCTTTTAATAATAGAGAAAACAGTCTTATGTCTTTGATCACTGGGGACAGGGCCCTGAGTTGCTTACCAGCATCTCAAATTTCTTTGAAGACTGAAGAAACAGTATTGAAACTAAAATGCATTGAGCTCTTCCATATATTGGACATGATGCTCTGTATCTTTGTATGTGTATTGTCTTAGATATACATATATATACCAGATATGTATCACAGATATACACACACATATATGTATCATAGATATACACATACAGCTGTGTGCATTGCCATTGACAACTAAGAAGACCATGTCTGAAATCACAAAGGTAGGAAAGATAGAGTCAGAATTTGAAGTGAGGTGGAACAACTGGAGAGCCTATTCTCTCAACTCTTATGTCAGGGTGTGTCCGATGGGTAGTCCACTGGTCACATGTGGCCCTGGACAGCTTGTAATGCAGCCCCACAGGATCATAAACCTGTAACATTCTTGTGATTTGTTGTGACTATATTATGCATTGCCCAAGCATGGGCTGCATAGTCGATAGGGGTCTGTGTAGGGGTGGGAGTAATGTACTGACTCCATCTCTGTCCTGCCACACAGATGAATGGAAACCCACGTGTGTTACTTTCGCTTTAACAGAGGTTTCAGTCCATAATCGGGTGGCTCCAAGACAGGGTGGCTTGGCATAGGGGCTCCACAGAGGAGAAACAGTTTGTGGCAGCCACAAGGGAGCTAAAGAACAAAGGACCCTCAGAAAGATGCTGTTGAGGTCCTTTTCAACAGCATCTTTCTGAGACTACTGGGATTAGGACAGTGCCAAACTAATCAGTTTACTGCTTTGGTAATCACATACCCTTAATCCCAGCATCACACACTCCAGATTCTGTCATCTCTGAAAAAGCCTATGACTACGTGAGACTTTGGGGGGACATCGAGACATAAACTATAACATTCCACCCCTAACCCCCAAAGACTCATGCACATTCCTTAATGCAAAAGGCATTCAGTCCATCTCTAAAAGTTGCCAAAGTCTGAACAGTTTCAGCATTGTTGAAAAGTTCAAGTCCAAAGTCTCCTCTGAGATTTAAAGCAAACTCTTAGCTGCAAACCCCTACACAAATGAAAAGAAAGTTAAACTCTTCCAGTATTCAGTGGCACAAGATAGACATTTCATTCCAAAAGGCACAAAGGCGGGGGGGGCCGATACAAAGGAACAGGAGCGAAGCAAGTTCAAAATTCAGCAGGGGAAACATTAAATCCCACAGTTCCACTTCCAGCATCCCTAGCAATCTATGACAAGATGTGAACTCCAAAGGGCTTGGGTGGCTCTGCCCCTGCAGCACTTCTGGTGGTTGTAGCTCCCACGGCTTCTCTCTTGGATCAGTTCTGCTCCCAGCTTGCAGCTTTCCTCAGATGATCCATGTTTCTGGCTTCTCCAAACTTCTGGGGTCCTCCACTGCAAGTGCATCCTTCCGACCCCTGATGTGGGAGATCTAGGAGCCAGCAGGTCTGGGCATGAGGTGCTTGGAGCCTATTGAAATGAGAGGGATTCTAGTACAAAGAAACATTAAAAAATTTTTTTTCTAGCTATTTTGTAATCATTTTATTGTGCTACAGAGCACTAGAACTTTTTCTTCCTGTGTAACTACATTTTTAAACTAGATTTCCAACTTCTTTCCCCACTTCCTGGCTACCCTTCTTAGTGTCTGGTAACCACTATTCTACTCTCCACTTCTAAGAGATCAGCCTACTTAGCTTCCACATACAAGTGAGAACATTTGGTATTTGTCTTTCTGTACCTAACTGGTTTCACTTAAATAATGTCCTCCAGGCTCATCTATGTTGCCCCAAATGATAAGATTTAATTCTTTATATGGTTGAATAATGTCCCTTTCTGTATTTATACCTATTTTCTTTATCTGCTCTTCTGCCAGTGAACACCTAGGTTGATTCCATGTCTTGGTTATTGGAGACAGTGTTATGATAAACATGAGAGTGCAGATACCTCTTTGATATGCCTGTTTCACTTGCTTTAGGTATATATATTTATACCCACTGGTGGGATTGCTGGGTCATGTGGTAATTCTATTTCTAGTTTTTTGAGTTCTGTTTTCTGTAATGGCTGTACTTTTACATTTCTGCCAGTACTTTCACATTTTTTCCATGTTTGTGCAAGAATTTTTTTTGTCTTTTTGATAATAGCCAGTCTAACTGGAGTGAGATGGTATCTTATTGTAGTTTTGAATATTATTCCCAATAGTGTTGTTGAGCATTTTTCATATACTATATCTGTTGGCTATTTGTATGTCTTCTTTTGAGAAATACCTATTCAGATAATTTCCCCAAGTTTTAGTCAGGTTGCTTTTGTTTCCATAGATTTGAGTACCTTATATATTCTCAATATTAATCTCATGTCAGATGAACAGTATGCATATATTTTTTCTCATTCTGCAAGCTGTCTCTCTGGTAATTATTTCCTTTGGTATGCAGAAGCTTTTAGTTTCATATAATCCCATTTGTCTGTTTTTGCTTTTATTTTCTCTGTGTTTTGGGAGTCTTATTCAAAAAGTCATTGCCCATACCAGTGTCCTGAAGTATTTTCCTGTATTATCTTCTGGTTATTTTAAATTTTTGCTGGGCAAGTATTTGTCATAGAAGAGAAAAGTTAGGTTGTTCTATGGTGGTGATTTCTGAAGGTCTTCTTCCATATAGAGAATCCCAATGATACTATATAAGCTTCCCCACTCTGTAGATTATCATTTTTGATCCCATCTGGTGTGGCAGCTTATATGATACCACTCATTGCTTTATTACCCCCTATCCACTTCTCCTTCCCCAGCCCTAGCTTTGCAAAGAGAATGAAGAGCAAAAACGGTCAAGCAGTGGTTGGGGTCTGATGAAATGTTTGGCACGTGGTTCTCCTGATGTTGATGTCATACTTAATGTGAAAGGTACAGGACATGCTCTTTAAACACTGGACATTGACATGATTATCTGTTTCCTTTTATGCAGTCATTAGCCTTGGAATGTGGTGTGCTGACAAGGACTAAAAATGGAAAATCCATTTAGGGATATGATAAATTCTCTTTTCTACAGCGGATCTCATTCATAACCTGGTACTGCCTGGTACCCCTAGCTTTATAAATTTAAATACATTTGGCCTTTTTCTTCTTTACTTGTGAAATTTTTATCATTCTGAATATGCATCATACCTTTCTTATCCCCAAATTATGTTGGTATTGAATAGTTAAGATAACAGAGACGATTATATTCCCAGCTGTTGGTAATCTAGGAAGTAGGAAAAGGTGGGTGAATAAGAGAGAATGCAGCAGGGACAGAAAATCTCAGGGTCCACTGATTTTATCCAGGAATAAAGTGTAGTTGCGGAGTTTACCACAACTGTGTGTGCATCATATTTCCATCTTTAGGATATGCTAATGACTTGGAAGTCTGTGAGATGAACATAGTAGCTCTTTTCATTTAGAGGATTGTTCTTAAAAAGATAATGTAAGCTGAATTAAGATAAAATCATAGGCATATCTGTAATGTCTAAGAAAGGTCTGCAATGAGGAGTCGTTTGTAATTACAATTACTCCCACTAGAAATACACCCTTGGCAGATCCTTTTA